GGGGGGGGGGGTGTTAACGTACCCAATTCCTATGGTATCTCCGCAGTCTTCCTCGTGTAATTTTTGGCACTGTCACTGTTTACTTTATTCTTTTGGAATCCTTAAGAAGCCGCCTTCACCGCTGTTCTCCCAAACAAAGACCACTTTTTTTGGAGTCTGCCGGAAAACCAGATGGTCAGTGGCTCATAGAATAGCAACCGTAATACTATGGACAGTGAGCTCTTCAATTTCATCAAGATATGGATCACAGCAACCACATCTCTAGTCTACTGCTACTATGTTGTATCTCTCATCCCAAGAGGCATTCTCAGGCTTCTCTCTCTCCTCCCCATTCTCTACCTCTTCTGCATCCTTCCTCTTAACCTCTCCTCCATCCTTCTTGGTGGCCCCACAATCTGCTACCTTGTTTGGCTTGGTAATTTCAAGCTCATCCTCTTCTCCTTCGGTCAAGGCCCTTTGTCACCACAACCATCATTGTCTTTCATCCATTTCATTTCCGTTGCTCTTCTCCCCATCAAAATCAAACAACACCCATCTCCCCAATCACCTCCCAATCCCCAAAAGAACAAAACAAGTTCTGACCCATCTCTCAAATCATCTCAAAATTCCAAAAACAATACATACACATCCCTCCAGTTACCTGCAACGGCCAAAAACAATAGCAACCCATCTGCAAATTCAAACTCCAGTCAAGACCCAGATTCCAAACTTGCCAAAAGTTTGGGCAAAAAAGTTCTTTTTGTTCTAAAGGTGGTGCTTTTGGATGTGTTTATTCGGGTATACGACTATAGGCAAGATTTGCATCCATATGTGATATGGACCCTATACTGTTGCCATGTTTATCTTGCCGTTGAGCTAGTCCTAGCCATCACTGCAGCCCCGCTTCGAGCCATTCTAGGGTTTGAGATGGAACCACAGTTCAACGAGCCATACCTAGCCACTTCTCTCCAAGACTTTTGGGGTCGTAGGTGGAACCTCATGATTTCCAGTATTCTACGACCAACCGTATTCTATCCTGTCCGCCGTATTTCAACGCCTGTGGTCGGAAAATTTTGGGGCCTACAACTAGCATATCTTGCCACATTCTTGGTGTCTGGTCTGATGCACGAGATAATTTATTACTATGTGACACGTGTGAGTCCCACGTGGGAGGTGACGTGGTTCTTTGTGCTCCATGGGGTATGTACCGGCGTGGAGGTTGCTGCCAAGACGGCGGTGAACGGGAGGTTTCGGCTGCACAGGGCGGTTTCAGGGCCACTCACGTTGGCGTTCGTGGCGGTGACCGGTGCTTGGCTGTTTTTCCCACAGATTCTCAGGAATGGCGTGGACCATAAGGTTATTGGGGAGCACAAAATATTGGTGAATTTTGTGAGATGCAAACTGTCAATTTAGTAGCTTTGGCCTAGATAGTAGATACTTAATTATGGAAAGAAAAATGTTACATGTGGAACCCAAATATATATCATTTTGTAGGTAAGGGTGGAATGAGTGGATAAAAAATTGATAGGATCCTCTCATCTAAATAATGATATGCATTTAAGTTATAATTTTTTAAATTTTATTTGGGTTTTATAAAATTACTCGGATGGGAAATGCGATGTACCGTATCAAAAATTATAATTTTTTAAAAGGTTAATTGTAAATTACATCCTGAAAGATCGTTCAAATCTCAATTTGTACCATCAAAGATAAAAATTTGTATCAATGTACATCTAAAAATTATTGTCATTAGTTTACTGTCTAAAACTAAATTGATAAATTATATCTAAATTGATAAGGACTAAACTTTTTACTCAAATCAAAACAGATTCAAACATTTATTCAAATCTTCAATGGTTATATTTCATTCTTTTAAAATATCTGATGATTATGTTTCTCTTTTTTTTAAATTTGAGTTTGTCCTTCTTTAAATTTAAATTTATCAATTAGAGTGTCTTGTATCGGTCAAATTTAAGGAAACGTTGGAAATGCCCTTATAATGGATAAGGCATGGGCTGTTTGATTTCAGGAATAAATGGCCCAAACAATGCGTGGGCTAGTAGGACCAAGTATTAAAAAAAATCTCATAAATGTCACTATAAGCATATTATATGTTTAGGATGAGCGGTTCGGCTGATGGTTGTTGATGGGTTAAGTCTAAATAGTCCAATTCATGTGTTAAAGTCCAATTCCAGTTGAGGAGCCCAACCTTATTTTGATTCCACCAAGCCCAAGACAGTCCAAGACCGGTTAGACTTTTTGCTTAGCACGTCACCAAGAGGAGATCATGGGAAGCTTATCTGCACCACCAAAGGAAACGGTCCAATCTTTGACCACGTTTCATGAAGAGCTCCCCAACCTCCTCCTTCCGTTGAGGATAAGTCGTGATCTCCACCAGAATAATCTCTTAGCTGCGATAAATAAACCTTGAGGATAAGTCGTGATCTTCACCAAGAATAATCTCTTAACTACGATAAAGAAGCCTTGAGGATAAGTCATGATCTCCACAAGAATGATCTCTTAGCGGCTATAAAATAGCTCTAATATGGTAGAAGAGGGAGATGAATGTCACGCCCCACCAAGACTTACGGAGGACGAATCGATTACCAGAGATTACTATTTCTTTGATTCTCCATTCTCTCTCTCAAAGCTTGTATCTCTATTCTCCATACCTTTGAATCAATAAAATACCCGGCAACTGAAGCCATTGAAGAGTGGACGTAGGTCGAATTGACCGAATCACTATAAATTGTGTCTTCTTTAATTTTCTCATTCATTTCATTGCATTTATTACATACATTTGACAGGTGATGTGCAAAATTATTTTTGTGCATCATCAGTTGTCGTAGTCCCTTGTTTGATTGTTAGGTTGTGAGTTCGAATATGAATCTCTCTCCAAGTTCAAAAATAGTGACCAAAAAAAATATATTATATGCTAAGCTGGTTAATTTTGCCTTTGCTTTGACAATTCAGTCAATGCTTTTGCATTTACAAATTTAATGGGTATTGATTAAATCGTGTTGTCCTGCCATAACCGCCAATTAATAGGTCAATCTCATAATAGTTTGACTCTATGTCCATGGAAGCAATGGAATGGTTTTGTGGGGATAAGGGAGCTAGAGAAAAGATTGGGTAAACTTTAAAAATCAAGTTAAGGATAAACAGTAATGCTACGCTCCGGGGTGATTCAAAATAATTTGGGACCTAAAATGATACTTCTAAATAAGACATTCTATGTTTAGTGTTAATATTTTTATTTAAAATTAATTTTTCTTGCCTTTTGAATTGCAGAAGTATTAATTAAGGTTTTACATTCAAGTTGTTTTACTATATCTTTTTCAATTGATAATATCGTTAATCCAATTAATCTTTCTTGTGACATAGTCGATCTTAAGTAAGATTTTATCAATTTTAATTTTGAAAATTTTTTTCTGTAGAAGCAACTGTTACAGGAATTGTTAATAATATTCTATAAATATTGCATGCATTTGGAAAAGAATCTAACTTTTTTATATAATTTAGTATTTCAATTGGAATATTTTCGTTACCTCATCAACATTTTCATAAAATTGTTTTTTTCTACGAATTCTACGTTTTTCACGAAATACAGGTTATATACTCATTTCACATGTAACTTTTTTAGACGAAATCATAGAATTTGTAAATCCACTTTCTCTATATTTTTTTAAAAAAAGAAATGAGATATTTTAATTGATTTATAGCAATATCAATATGCATGTCTTTTTATTGTTAATATTTATTAATTAAGTTGACGAAAAATAAAATATCATATCAAATAGTCATATGTTGCTAAACAATTAGTTTCACTCATTGTTTTAGGATATTCACTAGTTTCCGTTAATTGCAATAATGCAACTCTTATTCTTGGAGCTTGAAATTTTATTGTTTTAACACTTTCAACACGACTTTTTCAACGTGTTTGTGATAATGACTTAAGAGTTAAATCTTGAATATTATCTTGTAAAATTTTTCATCATTTTGTAGAAGAGGAAAATAATGAATATATACGTTGTACTATTCCAAAAAATGATATAGTCATGGGACAAGAGTTAGTCATATCACAAAGTACTATATTTAAATTATAACAACTACATGGTGTGTAAAATGCTCTAAGATTTATATTGAATAGCCTTTTTTATACACCTTTATGTTTTCCTTTCATATTAGACCCATTGTCATAGCTTTATCTTCGTATATCATTAATATCTAATTCAAGATTACTTATTACATCTATAAGTTTATCAAATAAACATTTTCTACTCGTATCATCTACTTTAATAATCTCTAAAAAATAATTTTTTATTTTTATTGGACTTATTGTAATATCTACGCATCGTAATATGAGAGACATTTGTTCTTGATAACTTACATCGGAAGTACAATCAAATATAATTGAATAATATTTTACTTCTTTAACTTTTTTAATAATATTGCTTATTACTTCATTTCCTAACAAACTAATAAATTCATTTTGTATGTTATGTTCAAGATAATGGTTATGAATTCTATCTTACTGAATACGACGAACGTGTTATTGTATTATCGGATCAAATTTCACAATCATTTCAATTAAACTTAAAAAATTGTCATTATTTTCTTGATATATCTTTTCATTTTTTTCCTAAAAAGTTAAATTATTTTTATCAAAATTCTTTACAACGACAATAATTCTTACTAATACATTTTGTCAATATTCTTTCTCTCTATTAATTTGTTCTTGGATACTTTTATCAATTATTTTATTTAGCTGCAATTTTTTTTCTAATCCAATCCAAGTATTCATATTAGCTATATGCTCATTAGTTATTTTATGATTTTTAAGCTTAACATCAATATTTCTCCAATTTTTTGTTCCTTCATTAGATAATTTACTTGTAGAATAATTCATATTGAATAACTTGCAACAAAAACAAAATATTTTATCTAAATCTTTTGAATATACTAGCCATCTTCTATCAAGTGTTTCCTCATTTGTTAATTTGCGAATATAATATGTAGTAAAAAAATGTCTAGAGTGTTCATCTCGAAAAAAATCTAAATTATTATATCTAATTGGACCATTTTCTACTAATAAATCTCTTAATTTTATATCAATAATTTTCCATTGACTTGGATCATAAATATTTATATGACTATAATCACTTGTTTCATTAAGATTTTGATTGTCTTTTATTTCACTATTTTCTTTTTCAAAATTTTATATTTCATTATCCTTTATTTTATTATCTTTTATTTCAATATTTTTTATTTCATTATCTTTTATTTCATCATTTTTGTTTCAATATTTTCTATTTCAATATTTTTTTTATTTTATTCTATTCTATTTCATTATCTACTTGTTCATTTTCAAAATTTTCATTTAAATTTTTTGTTACATTATTTTTGTTACTAGTAACAAATTTATCAAGTGATCATTTTTGAGATTCTACTAGTTGATCTATTTTTCTATTTTTTTTTAATTTTTCGTATCCACTTAATTGTCTTCTAGGTGTCATATTATTAATATATTATAACTATATAACAACCAAACAAACACAATATATAGTATAGTTAAAAATATATAACAAAAAAATTTAAAATTATGAAACAATAGAATATGACTTGAATGATTTCAAATGTTGATTTTTTGGTTCTACATCATGTCCCTTATGTTGCAATAAAAACTCGAGTTGATGATGGAGGATGGAGTGGAGGCCCAGTGATCTATGAGTGAGTTATCCGCTCTGCTGTAGCACTTGGCAAAAAAAAAAAAGTGCTCTGTGAGTAATGTTCATTGAGTTGAGAGCACTGTGAGAGAGAGAGAGGGAATTAGAAGAGTTTTTTTTTTCCAGTTTAATGAGAGAGAGAAAGAAAAATAATTGTTTATGTGTTGTTAGTTTAGTTGGTTTACCGAAAAAGAGAGAGAGAGATATGATTTTACTTTTTTACTTTTTTGGTGGCTTTATATGACCTTTTAGTTCTTTTTTTTTTTTTATATATATTGTTAATTTTTTTTATAATATAAAATGTTTGGATTGAATTATAGGCCTAAAATGCTTGATTGGACTTATATTTTTATAAGATATTTTTTTATATGAGTTATTTACGGTGTTTAAAAATTTTGAACCTTCCTATAAAATAAGACCTAAAGCTCAGGCTTTTTTAAACCTTCCGTTGGCCCGGCCCTGGCTACCCTGATTAAATTTTAAGATTAAATTTGGAGTTTGACATGACAACATATTATTTAAAGTATTTATTGAGACTCAAATGACATGAGATAAAGTAAAAAAAATTCAAATCAATTGTCATAAGAAATTAGTCATAATTTGTCGCTATGCGTAAACCAATAAGGTAGATCCGACTCTAATAGCTGTAATGACTCAACCCAAGTGCATATGGTATTACCCACTTTAGTTTGTCCTATTACAACATGTTAAAGACAATAATATATACGTGTATGGACTAGATTCTTCATCTATTATCTCAATTTACTCTATCCTCGGAAGACTGGGGTCCGGGGATGGGATAGTCCAGTGTTGGTCGGACTATTCTTCTAATTGCATTGTTTTTTGTGTCTCTAACCATTGAAGTAAACAAAAAAAAAGGGCCTAACTAAGAGGGGATCAATCACCATCATTTTGTTTTTGTTTTTGAGCTGGATTAAATCACGTGTTNCCCTAAGGGGATCAATCACCATCATTTTGTTTTTGTTTTTGAGCTGGATTAAATCACGTGTTGTACTAATGTCTAGGTACTATGACTTGGAGCAAAGAATCTTATCTTCTTCCATTTTAAGCCCATTGGCTTCATGTTTTATTCTTTACTTTCTAGGAAAGCATCTTTTTTTGGGTGTTGAGTTACATTTATTTTTTTGGGTTTGCTTATTATTTCGAGGGTTTAGATACCAATTTTTGGNAAAAGCATCTGTTTTTGGGTGTTGAGGTACATTTATTTTTTTGGGTTTGCTTATTATTTCGAGGGTTTAGATACCAATTTTTGGGGGAAATTTACTAGTTTTGGAATTTATTTATTTTTTCATTTTTTAATATAACACCAAAATTTAAAATCCGATAACATAGTTGTTCTCCTAGTTTTGTATGTGTATGTCTACAACCTATCTATAGCTTTGTAAAAAAAACTATTTAACTCAAAAGGTAGCTTAAGTAGTAATAGAACAAAATTGTAAACTTAAACGTTTTAAATTTAAATTTTGATAATTATTTGAGCCAAACTCACGAGAAATGTATTTCTCATAAATATTCTAGTAGTTTGGCATGAATGACTTGTTTTTAACTAAATTAGAGAGAATATTAGCCAACGTATACATAAATTAGTTTGAACACCTTNAACTATTTAACTCAAAAGGTAGCTTAAGTAGTAATAGAAAAAAATTGTAAATTTAAACGTTTTAAATTTAAATTTTGGTAATTATTTGAGCCAAACTCACGAGAAATGTATTTCTCATAAATATTCTAGTAGTTTGGCATGAATGACTTGTTTTTAACTAAATTAGAGAGAATATTAGCCAACGTATACATAAATTAGTTTGAACACCTTCATCGTTGAAACAAAAAAGAAAAGAAAAGAAATAAAGCACTATTTCCACAAACTTTACAAGTATCTTTTGGGTGGTGAAAATATTCACTAATTGACTAGCAGTCTCTATCTCACACACACATCAATAATTTATTTTTTGCATTCGATGTATAGATTCCAATCCTGAATCTCATTTCCACTCAAATAGATTATTCTCTATTATTTATTGTTTAATCTGTTTAATTTATAAATTTGATTGGAAAATATGATTTAATCATAATACTTCAATTAAACTAAAGTTTACCAAATATCATGNTGAATCTCATTTCCACTCAAATAGATTATTCTCTATAATTCATTGTTTAATTTATAAATTTGATCGGAAAATATGATTTAATCATAATACTTCAATTAAACTAAAGTTTACCAAATATCATGAAAAAGCTTGCAAAAAGGCTGGCTCAAGCTCAGTCGAATTTGAATTATTAGAAAAATACTAATTTATATCTCGTTAACCAAATTCAGGGTTGAATTAAAATTTGATCCATTTTTTTTCTTACTGTGGAGCTGAACCTAATTAGGGTTTAATTAACACTGGGTTCTGGGCAATTGGGTTTTGAATAGCACTGGGTTCTGTGAGGTCGGGTCTGGTTTGGTGTGGCGGGCGGATACCACAGAGACTCAACACGGAGAGAGCGAGAGAGAGAGAGAGAGAAATTGCACCTATCTAGCTATCGATTCTCTCTCTCGGCTCAGTCTTGTGGGTTGGGTTTGCTTGGCTTTCTTTGTTGTGGACTTGCTCTTTTGCTCACACGCAGCTCTCTCTCTCTCCCTCTCCCTCTCCCTCTCCCCCTCCCCTTTGTCTCTGTTTATTCTTCAAGCAGAGCACTGGATATCAAATTCTCTCATTTTTCCACCGATCCGACCAGTACTCTTCTTCTGGTAATAACTCCTCTTTTGCTTGCTCTATATATGCATATAATCGTGCCCTTCCTTTTGGAAAAAAGAACAGAAAAATAAGATTCTAGGGTTTGGAACATAAAAAAAGAAAAGCTCACGACACGTTTCCCTAAAGCCAGAGAATTAGACTTAGGGTTTCTGTTCCATTTTATGGGGGGTTGTGTCTATTTGCGATAAATTGGAAATTTGCATGAGTGGGCTAATGTAGAGATATCTATTTTTTTTCCCCTTCGGCCATTTGTTTTCCAGTAACGCTTATACAAATTATGTTCATTTCCTTTTCAAATTTCTCATTTTATGTATAATATATGCTAAACCCTATGCTTGTTTACCTGAAACTTGAAGTCGATTTTGATGATGGTGTATTGATTTGTATTGCTTATATTTTAAGCTGTGTCTCATCTGCCAGTGTGTCTGATAAATTAGTGTGTCACTCTTCTCAGATACGCACCTTACATTGTGCATGACACTTGCAATATAAGGTCCTGGCATTACCTAACGCCTTGAGTTTGCCTGTTGCCCCTGAACTTCTGAATATAAGCTTTGGTTATTGAATGTTGTTATGGTTGCATAAAATCCAATGTAAGGGCACGGGATATCGTATTAGGAATTATGGAAACCTGAAATAGAATATAGCAACTTCAGAAAATATTGAAATTGACCTAGGTTTAAGTAAAACAATTGCCCAGTCAGTAACCTATATGTTTATAGTTGGGTGAAAATACAAACTTACAAACAACACTTCTTAAAATAAAATAAAAAATGATCTTCTCATTTTTGTGATGGGGTTGTTTTTTGTTTTTTGAGTTCTTGTTAAGTTTTTCCTACTCTAGCTAAGAGGGTAGCTAGAAATTCTTAACAAAATTAATTTGCCTACAGCTGTATTATGGGCTAAGGTTTAGCAGAATACGTATATTTTCGGTTTTGCAAGCCTATGTGTTGAAGGATGTTTTCCAGTTCTAAACCTACAATTGTTTAGTCATTATTATCCATTAGCTGTGATCCTTCTTACAGATGAGTGATTTCCTGTCAGTATTTGTACTTTCTTGGAGCAATATTAAGTTGCAGATATGTTGATTTTCATTTGAGATTTTCCTGTTTCCTATGAATTTTAGCAATATTACTTCTGTTGCCTTGCTTCCAGTTGAACTCGAAAATATAAATTCTACCAAAGATTGTGAATTTGTGATGTTTGCAGAGTTTTTGAGCTATATATAGCAATACACTTCATAGCAGGGTAGTGGTTGTTCAGACTTTTGCAAGTCACAAAATGGTGGACGATATTGATGAAGATGACGTGCCGTTAGTTTTTAAAAGGAGTAATACAACATCTAAGCAAAACCAACCAACCCTGGAGGCGAAGAAATCATCATCTCAAAAGCATGGTGGACAAACGGGGAAACTGGTCTCTGATGTACGTACCTCCAATGGCCAAAGCTCCAGTGCACAAAAGATTAAGACAGTGCCCTCTACCAAGGCATCACCAGTGAAATCACCTATGTCAAGCAGTAAGGCATCAACTTTACCTCGCAAGGCTTCACCAGTTAGGTCACCCGTGACATCAACAGTGAAATCACCTATGACAAGCCCAAAGACATCAATTTCACCTGGAAAGGCTTCACCAGTTAAGTCACCTTTGACAAGTTTAAAAGCATCCACTTCATCGGCTGACCAGTCAAAAAATTCATCTCAACAGAATGCAGCCACTGTTGTTAAGGAGGAAAAGCGATCAACTAATGCTGATGATTCTGAGGATTCTGAAGATGATAAACCACTGAGTGCTAGACTTTCTGCTGGATTAACAAAAGGAAACTCCAACCATGCCAACAAAGGGCTGAGCACTTCAATTGAGGGTTCTCCATCAGTTATAAAACCAAAAATTGCTAAATATGAAGATTCGGATGATGAAAAACCTTTGTCATCAAAGTTCCAAGCTAAGTCCAATGCAGGCCCATCCACCAGCAAGTCTTATGAATCTGATAAAGACAAGCCTTTGGCCTCGAGATTTAATCAAAACGGTTCCATCAACAGGGACAATCAACTTAAAAAGTCTTCCATGATGTCGAGTAAGAGACCTCCAGGCGAGGCCAAGTCTTCAAGTCAGTCATTGGTTAAGAAACCGAAGCTTTCTGATGCATCTACACCAAGCTATAGTAAGCAAGCATCTGTGAAAGCGGAAACAAAAACAGACGATGATGATCATGTTCCTATTTCCCAAAGAATCAAGAAATCAGCCACCTCAGGTAGCAAAACATCGTCTGCACAACAGAAAGTGGCAAAACCTGTGTCGTCTTCATTCAAGCAAACAAGTAAGAAGTCCAAGAAAGTGATTAAAAAATCAAAGTACTCAAAGTCCTCAAAGGTGCTCCCTAGCTCTGGAGAAGGGCAGAAATGGACTACTTTGGTTCACAATGGTGTCATTTTCCCACCTCCATACAAACCTCATGGTGTTAAGATGCTTTACAAGGGGCAGCCAGTTGTTTTAATGCCCGAACAAGAGGAGGTGCATCTCTCTGTTCTCTCCCCTCTATCAGATTAGAGTTTTCCATTTATTCTTGTTCACGGATGCCTAAATATTTCCTTTTGCATTATCCATACATTGTTATTGCATCCACTATAGATCCTGAAAATCTCTCCTTGCAGTTACTCCAAGTTGCATTGCACTTGCATGTTTTTTTTTGCAGGTAGCAACGATGTTTGCCGTGATGTTGGATACTGATTACATGAGTAAACCAAAATTTAAAGAAAATTTTATGACTGACTGGAAGAAGATACTGGGGAAGAATCATGTAATTCAGAAATTGGAAGACTGCGATTTCACCCCAATATATGAATGGCATCAAAGGGAAAAGGAGAAGAAGAAACAAATGAGTTCAGAAGTAAGTTAATTCCCCTCAAATAGTTTCTGGATTTGATAAGAGAAACTTTATTAAAGGTCAATCTGATTTGTGGATTCTCAATATATACCTTGTGATTCTTAATTTTTTAGGGCAGACCTCATATTTGATGTGATCTTTGCTGCTTCAATTTTAACAATTCTGATTAGTTTGCTTGTGAGCTCTTCTAAGCTCAAAAATGATTGTGCTTCCCATTGAAGTTGACCAGCAATCGAAGGGATCACACAATAAAATGAGTTCAACATACTATGAAAAGATTTTGTTTTCTATTAGTCATGCTACATCCTTTTAGAACGTTGCAACAGTTTCAGGCTAATAATTGCAATGATTTGAAGAAGCTTCCAGCCTATATATTAGCTGCTATTCATTCATTAGCTTACATGTACAAGGAGAAGAAAGGATTATATAAGGTCAGATAACTCTTATCGAAAACATAATGTTAGAAGACATTTTATTCTGTTCTTCATTGTAAAACTTTCACTGTTATTATATTTGGAAGTGAATTCAACGGCCTCTAACCGCATTTATTTGTTGGCATATGAGAAGCAGGGGCATTTCTAAGAGGAGTTTATTGATCATTGAGATTCACTAGTCATAAGTTTCAGTTTCATGTGATTGCCTTGGAATAATAGATTGACTTATAAAAGAGTAATATGTTTGTTTTCCATACCTGATTTTGTCTTAAATATGATATTTCTTTGGTATTCCTGTGATGTTTTTGTGTTCTATGACCTTAGGGATTGCATTATTGTGGTCTGCCCATGTTTCATGGGTCAGCTTGTTTCACAGATTTTGTTAAATGGACATCACTAGTTGTTTGTGTGAGAGCAATATCGTGTTAAGAGTTTCCTCTGACTCTTGACTCATTGAAGCTCTTACAGCTGTAGGAAAGCTTGCCATTGAGCGAAAAGACTTATGCAGCAGATAGCGAACTGTTGATNACTAGTTGTTTGTGTGAGAGCAATATCGTGTTAAGAGTTTCCTCTGACTCTTGACTCATTGAAGCTCTTACAGCAGTAGGAAAGCTTGCCATTGAGCGAAAAGACTTATGCAGCAGATAGCGAACTGTTGATACCCTGTAATGCCCCATCTTTCCTTGTGGTTCAGTTGCTAACTTGGGTCCAACCATCACTCCAGGACCTTTTACCACCTTCTTTGCAATCTCTGCTGTCATTGGCTGGTTGCTCCAATAGCAGATAAAGCAAAGTGGGAGTATGGGTTTTTTCTCTTTACCTCTCCTTTGTCGATTATTCTAATCATTGAATCAGGGATGACACACCAGTTCATGGAAAAAAAAGGGTAGGATCTCGTCCTACTTTTAAGGATGGATAGGAAAGGGGTGGGAGAGGGTTTCTGTATCTCTTTTTCTTTCTGAGGCTACTTGTGTCATATCTATGTATCGGCATATAGAAAAGACACATATAAAGCTTAAGGTTCATGTTTTAAAACATTTTTGTATTTTCCTTTCGTAAAATGATGTGATATTGTGACATGCAGTGTTTCAACGGGGGTATTTCACTAATTTTTGAAACAATGGCCAAACAAAAGGAAGAAAGTTAAGAGATTCTTGAATTAACAGACATGCTATACTCATCCCATGTCATGCATATGTGCTGTGTGTGGGACCCGCGCATTTAGAAGTGTCCAGGTATCATTGTGCACAACCAGTCGTTAAGAATAGTAACCACTTGGCACATTACTGTTTTTGTTGATAAAAGCAACCCTTTTATAGAAAAGGATATAATGTCATTTGCGGTCGTGTGCCATGACTATCACTCTCAATAGATGACACAATAGTTGTGTAATTTTGGTTGATATCAAATATTTTCACAATTACTGGTCTAAGAATTGCTGTTTATGCAGGAGAAGAAGGCCTTAAAAGAAGAGAAGCTAAAGCTGGAGGAGAAGTATATGTGGGCTATCGTTGACGGTGTTAAAGAGAAGGTCATCACTTGCTTTGACTAATATGTTGTGTTTTGATTTTGGGGTTTCATTCTTGTTTTAAGAATAGGTGATATGTGATAACCTACATGCCTGCCAAATAGAGTATGATATTTTCTTTTGATTATCACTTATTCAATCTTATCATAGGAGGATTGAGAATCAATACGTTTTTTCAAGGTCACTGTTACGTTTTTTCGTATCAAAAACTAAGCCCGAAGAATGTTGCATTGCCTCTTCTGCCTTTGTTCCATCTGCATCACATCTACATTCTTGCAACATTATGGATTTTGTTGGAAGCACTTCAGATTTTCGGGAGATGAAATTATTTAGGTTNGAAAACTAAGCCCGAAGAATGTTGCATTGCCTCTTCTGCCTTTGTTCCATCTGCATCACATCTACATTCTTGCACCATTATGGATTTTGTTGGAAGCACTTCAGATTTTCGGGAGATGAAATTATTTAGGTTCCTTTTTTGATGGCATTTTTTTATGGGAATTGAGGGCAAATTTCTTTGTTACCTACTCTTTCATGTAATTCCTTATTATAAATATATATGCCCTCCTTTTTCTTAAGTCTTAGCCACTTTCGCTTGGAAGAAAATAAGTATTATGATTTATTCTGTCTCAGAAGATTTAGTGACACATTCAGCCTTGAGGAGATTGTTAAAGCCTTCAAATGTCAGCTAAATGTGTTCAGTGGCCAATAAGATAATATTCGACCACTTTGATGACAGTTTTTTTATTTGATAAATTTTATTTGTATTTTATAAGCTATATCATGTTTGTTCCTGTCACAGTTAGCAAGTATTCTCCAAGAGATGGGGCTATGCTAACTGACTTTTGTACCATCCAATCAGTTTTTTACTGAAATGATGGTGCTTTGGTTCATTTATACAATAACAATTTTGTTTGCTTTTCTGTTTTCAGTATTCATGTACCATATGTTGAATTAGTTGAGATCCCTGCATGTTTTCCTTATTTTTATGTTGTGTGATTCATTTGATTTCTCTCCATTGATAAAAATGTTGTGCCAAATATGTCATAATCCAGTGTCCAATATATTTGTTTTTTACACCATCTCTATAGAATCTATCATCTTTATGCAGGTTGGAAACTTTAGAGTCGAACCACCTGGGCTATTCCGAGGACGTGGGGAGCATCCAAAGGTTATAATTACATCTTTGTACGAACAACGAAGAATTTATAGTATTTCAAGATGTAGTATTATGATATTGTGGCTGTATCTGTGAGAATTTGGGATTCTTCTTAATTTCTTATGGAAATTGGTGTTGAACTTTGATTTTTATGGTTTCAGATGGGAAAGCTGAAAAAACGCATCCGTCCGAAAGACATTACAATAAACATTGGGAAGGCTGCCCCAATTCCAGAATGTCCCATACCTGGTGAAAGGTGGTTGTTTGAATATTATTGTTATTTGTTTTTATTTTTTGAAAATTACAGTTCAAAAAGAACAAGACATTCTCTGTTCAATATGTTTCTTAAAAGTTAATTTTTGAGTCTTTTTTTATCTTTGGCAGCTGGAAAGAAATAAGGCATGACAATACCGTGACATGGTTAGCCTTTTGGAATGATCCAATCAATCCGAAGGAATTCAAATATGTGTTCTTGGCAGCTAGCAGTGCCTTGAAGGGGCAAAGTGACAAGGAGAAGTATGAGAAAGCAAGGTTGTTGAAGGTATACATCCTTCTGACTAGTGTGAATTCATTTCTTTGTATCACTTTTGGAATGAACTTTTAATTAAAATGGAGAACTCGCTCCTTGAGTCCAGGACTACATACATGGCATCAGAGAAGCTTACACAAAGAATTTTGTAAGTAAGGATCCTACGAAGCGGCAGATTGCAGTTGCAACCTATCTTATTGATAAACTAGCTCTCAGGGCTGGCAATGAGAAGGTATGATGTCAATTTCTTGATTCGTTTCCCTCTGTACTTTTTGGTATTCGTGTTTTGTACGAGAACAGCAGACAGTTATTCAGTGGATCAGCATGGTTGTGATTGTGAAGAAGTATCTATGTAATTAAAATTGATTCTGAGACTTTAATCAACTGGAGGGAGGTACTTCTTTGAGTGTGGAAACTGCATAGTTATGCAATCCATATTAACAGAAGGCAGCAAATTGTTTACAGTACCCGTTTCTTTGTTTGTTAGTGCGGGAAATTGTTTAACATAAAGTCATAAACAATATCTTGGTGAATTGCCCAGCTGGAAAAATCATAGAGACAAAAAAGCACACTGTATAGAATTTCTGATAGTTGTTTGTTGTGTTGCAGGATGATGATGAAGCTGATACAGTTGGTTGCTGCACACTGAAGGTAGAAAATGTGGAGCCAAAACCTCCTAATGTTCTGAAGGTACAGTATGTGTTACCTGTTATATCCTGGGTAGCAGGGCTTTGAAAATTCACTTGGGCTGAATTGGTTTGCTAATGAGATATAACTAAGATTTTCACATTGATGGCCTCAGAGAACATAAATTTTGTCCAAGTTATGAAAGTTTTAAATGACTTTGAATTAACTTGATGTCCTCTGAAAATAGAAGCAATTTCTGGAATTTATATAGGCTTTTTGGGATCAGTAATCATGCAAGATTTGTCCTTACTCCTGCCACTTATTGAAGTAATAACAGTTGAACCCTTTTTCTGTTTTATCAGTTTGACTTCCTCGGTAAAGATTCTATTAGATACCATAATGAGGTTGAAGTTGAAATCCCTGTGTTCAAGGCAATTCAGCAATTCCGAAGTGGTTAGTAAATGTTCTTTTGTATCTCACTGTATTTTTCCGTACCTTTGTGTTAGGAGCTCTTAGTTTTTCTGTTATATTTTTTCCACAGGAAAAAAAGGATGTGATGATCTTTTTGATGAACTAGATACCAGTAAACTGAATGCTCATCTGAAGGAACTCATGCCCGGCCTTACAGCAAAAGTTTTCCGTACTTATAATGCATCTATCACATTAGATGATATGGTAAAGATCCAACCTGGAAATTCTTATCTTGAATTTAACAGCCTTTCCTGTGTTTTGTGGTCTACCCTAGACTTGTTATAAGTTCCTTACCTTGACGGCTGGACACATTGGTCGGGTTGTGTCCATAAACTTATAATTTATCTGTGGATGGTTTACTGAAAGATATGGGCAAACATGCAAGGATTTGAATTATCAAAACTTTGGGCTCCAGTGCTTGTTTTAAAAGGAAATTCAGTGTGAGGGCAAGTTACACAAAGAAACCCATGTCATATTGGTTTTGTCCCCAAATATGTTGTCTACCAAGCCTTTGGACATGACAGCTACAGGATGGGCTTGAGGTTGTCATCATTCTTTGGACAAAAACAATAGAATTCTGGTAGTCTTTTTTATTTTTTCAAAAAAGAAAAACCTTTGCGTGGGTTGTAGAAAGGGAATTACCTTGCATTGTGGCTTCGTTAGACTTGAGGTTGTGTTTTTGCACTTTATGTGAAAGTTGTTTTTCCATAGTACTAAGCTCAGCTTCAAGTACCTAATTGAATGTGAAATCTTGATAAGCAGCACGGCTCATGGTAATGCTTGCTGTTTCTTAATGGCGAGAACAAATTAAGGTCCTTTATGTCATCATAGGGGCTATATACCTTGGGGGGGTAGGCATTACTAATACGTGCCATTGTGTAGGCTATGGGATTTAAGTTTAACCTACAACAGTAGTTATTATGAGCAATCAAACATGGTATGCCTTTATTTTAAGCTCGTAAGCAAAGTTTGCAAGTTAAAACATGTACATTCATATGCAAAGAACATGCAGACACTGTGCTTAAATGGTGCATACGGAAATTCATGAATCGTTATGCGTGAAAAATGGAAACCGACAAGAATGATGCAGGATAATATAGTCTCAAATTTATTTGTGTTTAACCATGTTAAATTAGGAGACACACTTCACTTTTCAGGCATGGTAGTGTTGGAGGAATCCTACTCTTTCTTTGGATTCTTCTTCTCTCATGTACCCCGCCCACATCTGCTGCTGCTTTTTTTCCCCATATATAGAGGTTTTTCTTTTTGCAAGTTTATATGTTCAACTTTCATTTTTTGGCTGATTGCAGTTGAGTAAGGAAACCAAGGGCGGGGATGTGGCTGAGAAAGTTGTAGTCTATCAGCATGCCAACAAGGAGGTAAAGGCAGTCCAGAGCTAAATAGTTTTCATGAGGGATATCATGCTTTAGTTTTAAATATGGGGTGGTAACTTGAACTTTGGCATATCTTGTTGCAGGTTGCAATCATTTGTAATCATCAGCGTAGTGTTTCAAAGTCTCACAGTGCGCAAATGTTGAGATTGGATGAGAAGATAGACGAACTAAAGGTGATGACCATTAGTTTGCACACGCACCTGCATGTTGCCTGCGTAGACATATAATATGAATTCAAATATATTTGTCCTTGACTATGTCACTTCTACATATTTGTAGGGGAACTTCCCAGTACTTTGTGGAGGATTATGGCACTGTCATGTGTCATGTTTTTTACGGAGTTTTTTTTTCCTTTGTAGGGTGCTCTGGAAGAACTCAAAACAGATTTGTCTCGTGCCAAAAAAGGGAAGCCCCCACTGAAGAGTGCTGATGGGAAGCCAAAGAGGAATATGAACCCAGAAGCGTAAGAGCACTAATGCTGCCCTTGATGTTTAATGTACACATTTGTGGGATGCTGTCATCTTGTGGCTGATGGAAAATATAATATGCAGGTTGGAGAGGAAGATAGCTCAGACCACTGGAAAGATTGAGAAAATGGAGCGTGATAAAGAGACCAAAGAGGATCTCAAAACTGTGGCATTGGGAACGTCAAAGATCAACTACCTTGATCCTAGAATAACAGTTGCTTGGTGCAAGCGACATGAAGTTCCCATTGAAAAGGTGAAAGCTTCTTTAAATATTTTTTGAAATGGATATTCTTGTGAACAATGATACTTTTTTTTGCTCATGTGGGTGGGAATCTCTGAACTGTATCATTTCTCTTGGATTTTGGTGGAGATTTTTGCACTTTTCTCCCCCCCCCTCTCCTCCCCCTCTTCTCTCTCTTTCTCTCGTGTAGGTGTGGGTGCGGTCACATTTGTTGGCTTACTCTTTCACTTGAATTTCCAAATCCGGCTTGCTTCCAGTTACATGTCCTTTTTACCCTTTGCCTGTGTAGAAGTGGATTCGAACCATTGACACCAGGATTTTCATGGGGTAGGGTAGTGGGATAGTTGTTTGACTCGCTCATGGTTGCTTATTAAGATTTCTCCCATGCAGATTTTCAACAAGTCTCTTCTGGCGAAGTTTGCTTGGTCAATGGACGTTGATCCCAGCTTCAGATTCTAACATTTCGGTAGTTGTGCTAGCACAGAAAACTCCCGCCTCCCTCTTCTGTATTCACTTTCTTCTTCAAAAATATTCAACAGTTTTCCCTCAATTTTTCTGCTCTAGGAAATTCATGTTGTATTAAACATCTTAAAGAAATTATGGGGGTTGTCACCCCGGTTTTCACTTGTTTTTAAATCCATTGAGAGATGAGAAGCTGTCATAAGGATTGTCTGCTGCTGATTGTAATTGTTTCAATTATGTATTACTAACAACTTCTACTGTTCTGAAGACGATAAATTACTCCGACTCCCATGTCTCCTGTTGATATTGTAACTTAAAAATGGTGCCTTGGCATTTGCATACACTTCTTTGAGCAACATAGGAACTAATTCTCATCACTTGGCATCTGTTTCAGTTTCAGTAGTGTCTCCAGCCCCGTGTGCATGGTGGTGACTCTGACGGCCAAGGTAGCCAATGGAGATCAACCATGCTGGTGTCCATGGGCGGAGCTAGCCAACGACTAGGGTGGTTTTAGGCTCATCCTCATATTCTTGTGAATAATTTTATTGAGATCTAATTTGAGAATCTAATACATTGTTCTCGTTAGATTAGCAGTGGGCATCCGACATATAAATACAATTAGGGTTTCATCGTAAATGGCTAAATAAGCCTCCTTGCTTTGTGAAATATTGTAATTAGCCTTTTTTTTTAATTTATTTTCTTTTGTGGTATAGACAATGCATACTTGGCTTTTTGTATGTTTAATGAGGATTTATGTATCAAATATGATGTAAATAAAGATAAACTCTTCTTAAATTACGACTAAAAGTTCAAGTGTCCTACTAAAAATAAATTTCTGCCTCCCTCCTTGAGACATGTGGTCTCCATTGTACTATCAATTTACACGCTCCCCACTGCAGGGTAGATTGCTAATGTCACCATGAGTTACCATTTTATCAGAAGTTAATGGAAATTTTGTTGGAAAAAATAGTTCGAAAGATAAAGTGAACAACGGAGGGAGGTACATATTAGATCGTTCTCTTAAGACGATTTATGTCCTTTTATGGAAGAAATATAATACAGAAGATAACAGCGCGTCGTCTCTAAAACACAACAACTTAACCTAATTAATTGTAGCTTCATTTAAATCTGCATAATCAAATGAAGTAAAAATTTCACAC